TGGCACAGAATCATACAGTTTGCCGTACAGAAAGGTTACTGTCGCGGTGAACCTTTTGAACTTCAGAGACCGTGGATCATTGATGGCCAAGCTTTTCAAGCTAACGGGTCAGGCGCTGAGCAGGAACTGGTCTCACGCCCCTGGCAAAGGCTGGAGTAGAGGAGAGGCTTGCGTCTTGGGAATACCCGCTGCGGATGCGATAACACAGGGAGATGACTTCCGGTTTCCGGGGTTCCATTATTGTGTGCAGTAAATTTTGGGAGGACTAAGCTGAAAACTGTAAACCCTAAACCGCGTCACAGTAGCCAGCCCAAAAGTGCCAGAACTGCCGCACAACCCTAAACCTTAAACCCTAAACCCTAAACTCTAAACCGTAAAATGTACGGATATCCACGGCCACAGGCCAGAAGGTTTTAGGGTTTGCCAAGGCCTTTGTTTGGTGAACGTGATCGGGGTGCAGGGTTTCATGTTAGCGCAGACAGTTTCCGGTCTAGGGTATGCAAAACTCAGGCAATCCCATAGCACAGTCAAAACCTTACACGTTCAACCCTCAGCCTAGTAGTTACTGATTTGGAACTGGTGGGAGGGATTGCTGACATGCACACAATGAAGGCACCCACATCGTGAAGATAAAGTGGACAAGGACGATATACCGGGGGGGGGGGGGCCGGTTATAGGGATTATTTAGGGTTTAGGGTTTAGAGTTTAGTCTAGGGTTTTCCAAAATGAGGGTGTTTTTTTGGGGGGTCCCCATAATCACAAGGATTATAGTGCATTGAGGTCTTTATTGAGGTTCCCTCGTTATGGACAACTGCCAAATGTGCATCCTTTGGTCGACTGCCCCTTTGAAGTTTCAATCACGCTCCAATCCATGGCTTTAGTGTCAAGGCGTGCGGTTCTCCAAAATAACCCTAAACTCTTTAAACCCTAAAACCCTAAGCCTTAAACCGCATTGGGGGTCTGTGTCGGAGATTTCGTTGTACGGAAATCCAGTACGGGGTCTCAGAATTCAGAGCTCAGCAGCGCATTTTTCTGGAGGTTGTCAAAATCGGAGTCCCATTGTGGTACCCCTAATTCTTACTTAAGGTTTAGGGTTTAGGGTCCCAGGTGCCATAATGCATGTATTTAGCTTTATACCCAAAAGTGATACATAAGCTTGAGAAGAACCCAAATGCGGGTTGTCAGAACTGTGATCCTTTTCCTGTTGTTTGCTAGTAGAGACTGAGGGAACGCAAAAGCAAATGGAAACTACTTTACTACTGAATTTGTTGAGGAGTACTCCGGGATTACCAAGGTTGAACTCTGAGGGCCGACGTTGCATTGTACTGTATGGCTGGGAAATCGCATACACCCTTGCTTCGCTACATGTGATAAAGCTCTGAAAGAAGGCCGATGTATGGGCTCGCTGCTGCTTCGGTGCTCAAGCATGGAGAGCTTTCAGTCCTTGATGTCCTTGAAGTACTCTGAGTATTCAGGGCACCAACTTTAACCCCTACATAGCTCTTGTATAAGACTAGCCATATCTATTCTCGCGATTCAAAGCGAGGGGACATCACAGCTGCTTCTTTTCGCCAGCTGGGCGCTCAAGCAGGCCTTCGACTAAGAAGAGGCTGGGGCAAGGGAAGTGGCCCTATGTAGAGCCTAGGGTTTATTCTGAAGTAACAATCGGTTATAGAGGGCTTTGTAGATTTTCGTATGGTTTCAGTATTCGGGATTAGGGACAGAATGCTGGAGAATCACTCGGAAAAGACAATGGACCACGAGACGGAAGCTGGATTGATACAGGCGTATGTAGAATGTTCTATGCACCATGGGGCCCGATACCCATGAATTCAGGAATGTACCGTTAATCATATGAGGGATCTCAGTATCGTGTAGGGTATAGTCTTTGATTGAGGTGAATTGGGCTCTCTAGGTTCTTGGCTTCCCTGAAAACACCACCCCCTAATATGTGGGGTGGGGCGTAAACCCAAAACCCTAATTTGCATCTCCATATATAGTCTCTAAGGCGCAAGAGTTTTACAAACTTCCTATGCTCAGCACCAGGACGTTGTAGACTTCGCGAACCCAAGACTGCCACGGCAAACCTTGTAAAGCATGAAGTAGACCCAAAACTCTAAAACCTAAATCTAAACCCTAAATCTTAACATGAACCCAAAGCAATCCACAAGCCCTGTACTCCTCCCTTTGCCCCCTTGAGTGCGCCCCAGGCCCCAGACCCTCAACCCAAGATTTCGCACCCTAAGCTCGAGGCCCCTGAGTTTTAAGATCTGAGCTGCGGTCTAAACTCTTTAAGGGGGGTTATATAGCGGCTTATATAGGGGACTACCATAGGGGATATTAAGGGGGATACTAGGAGTTTAGACTATAACCCCTATACCCCCCTATGTAGTCCCAGTTTCCGTTTCATTTCCATTTTCTTTTCCATTTGATTCCCCAGTATAGGGGTTATCAAGGGGATACTAGGAGTTTAGACTATAATTCATATACCCTAAACCCTTAACCCTAAATTCTCATCTGAAGCAGGATGGCGGTGCTTGTGGCGGAGCCACCCCAAAGGATGCGCCGAAGCGTTGCTTTCGCAGAGGAGTTTTGGGGAAGGCTCTTTCTTTACTGTTTAGGGTTTAGGGTTTAGGGGTTTAGGTTTTAGTTTTTAGGCATCAGATATTTGTTTGAGTTTCTGGCTGAGGGGCCTTAGATTCATGTCGGGAGTATGCGGGCATTGGGGTTTGTGATGGTTTGTGTGTGTTGTGATGGCATGCAAGGATTAAACCCTACCGCCTAAACCCTAAACCCTACGGGTAAATCCTAAATCCTAAACCCTAAATCCTAAACCCTGAGCCCTAAACCCTAAAACCTTTGCAACCGGGGTTCTTGGAATCTCCGGCTCAAAGGGACGTAGAGTTTGAGGTTTAGGATGTAGGGTTCAAAGTTTAGGGTTTAAGGATTAGGGCTTGGGTTGTAGGGTTTAAGGTATAGGGTTTAAGGATTAGGGTTTAGCATGTAGGGTTTAAGGTAGGCGGCCTGATGATTAGGGTTTAGGATGTAGGGTTTAAGGTATAGTGTTTGACGATTAGGGCTTAGGATTTGGGTTTAGAGTCTCGTGTTAAGTTGGTAGGCATGAATCGGGTTCAGGGCTTGGGCTTAAGTTTTACGCTCCAGACCCCCCCGGCGCACAGCTTGCTTGTTCAAGCTTTGCTTGCGCTTGGGGCGTGAAGGCGCTTGGGTGGCTCATGAGGGTTCAGGGTTTAGGGTTCAGGGTTTAGGGTTTAGGGTTCAGGGTTTTAGGGTTTACGGTTTGTTTGCATATATTACGATCCCCAAAATAGAGTAATTAAGATTACAGCCTCCTTTCGGGTATTTTGATTTCATATGAATTAGGTGGACCCCCCACCCTGTAATAGTGACTATCAGGGATAATAGAGATTATATTAGGGTCCTCTTTTATTCCTAGTATACCGCTATTACAGGGTGGGGGGTCCTCCTAACATATGAACAATGTACTCTTACTGCGATCAACAACCAAAACAGGCTACCCACACGTAGTGGTTTCCATCAATCAGGCGGCACACCAATGTAGGTCCAAGTACATTTTAACCTTATTCAAGGAAAGGGGACCCGGCATATCCCTAGAGCCCCCTGAAGGGGGACCCTCAGTTCTGGAATTCCCGTGCAGATACCCTTTCAGGGGGTTGTAGGCATTATATACGGTTGGGTTTCGGGATAGAAAAGTGGCGACGCACATGGACAAAGAAAACGAATATCAAATGCTTGAAGCCAAAACGCTTTCCACAGGGGGTTTCGTAGGCGTCATGTGATGAGAAGCATCAGGAAGTAGCTGCATTGTTGTTAATCGTCTTTATATAGGGATCGTAGAGTTTGTCCCCTAAACCTGGTTCTAATTGTTCCATCCCTGGATCGCAACTGCTTTCAGGACTGTTGACTCCACCGCGCTTCCCTCAACCTCGCACCCTGAAGCCCAGAGTCAAATGGCCCAAAGACCTATAAACTCCAAAGCCCTACGCAGGCCCTGTAGGAGGTTGAGATGGTTTCCGTGCAAGCTGTATAATCTGTAAAAGCCCTTTACACTTCCAGGTGCTACCCCTGCCCGAACCTCGACCTTGTATGTGTGGCTGTCACGCTACTTTATGACCTTTTTGGACCCCATCGTTTAACAGGCGCACACTCTATATCTCCTGATGAGCCACTATACAGGGACCACAATGATGATAACATTCCCCAGATATATGCCCATGAAGGAGTCCAGCCCCGTCTCAAGCAAGCTCTCTGATGATGAGCGTGTGCTGCGTCTTTGGGCAGTTTTCAGGTTCAGGGTTCACTTCCCGGTGGTAACGGTTAGTAGCGAATAAGGGAATATAATCCCTATACAACCCCTATAAGAGCCCTTGTATAATAGGTTCGCTTATTCCCTACTAACCCCCAGTAAGTGTAGGGGTCTTCTGGCGCAGGCATTGACCCTAAACCCTATAGTGTGTGGCTGATGCACTTCATTGGTTCGTGCCCAGGGTGAATAATTCGGGTGCTGGGATTAGGTTTTCCCCAAGCTCAAACCCTAATGCCTAAAGAGGTTTTTGGGTCTAGGATTGTGGTCGCGGTGTTTGGATCGTGTTTGGATCAGAAGAGAGTTTGTATGTGGGCGGCAAAAATCGTATGTACCAGAGATAGACCTACCTCATGAGCACTTTGAACGGCCAGTGCTGACCTTATTGGTGTTTTAGGGAAAGTTAGTCGATCTATGGATTCATAAATACCCTTGCGTAATTCCCTTTCCTACTCCCCGTTAAGCAACCGTAAGTTGGGAATTCCCAGTTTCCACCCAGGTTCTTTTCCATCAGATTTTCCATTATTAGGGTCATATCTCTAAACCCTTAAATCCTAAATCTTAAGCCCCTTACACCCTTACACCCTAAGGCTTAAATCCTAGACCCTAAACCCTAAACCCTAAACCCTAAACCCTCTACCCTAAGCCCTAAGCCCAGGCATGCTGCAGAGGCATCAGTGTGTGGTGGCGACGGGCATTCGACAGAAAGCTGGGTCTTGATCTAGAGTTTAGGGTTGAGGGTTTAGGGGTTTAGGGTTTAGGGTTTAGGGAATTAGGGCTCAGGGTGTAGGATGTAGGGTTTAGGATCTAGGGTGTAGGATTTGAGGTATTAGGGGTACCTTTTTGGGGGGTTTCTATTACAAGGACTAAAGTATGTTCGGGTTTTAGGGCCACTGCTATATCCCCATACGGTTGATGGAAAAAGACTCCTGTATGGCCCTACGCTCTCCCAGACTAACATGGAAACCTATAGAGCCCCCTTTTAGAGGGTCTATAATGGGCTTTTGGGTTTCCATGATAGTTTTCGGGAGTGTAAGTATTCTTTACTACCTTCTGTTCTAGCCTTTACCTAAGCCCTAACTTCAGCAAAACAATGGCAGTGGAGCCAAAGTGCTTGTACAGGAGGCGTGTAGGGCCCTGACAAAAGCTCTAAACCCTAAACCTCAAACCCTTAGCCGAGGTGGTGTCACAGTCTTTGTTTAGGGCCCTAACCCTGATACAACTTCCCAATGTCCTTCTATATCCGTTCTATCCTAATCTGGGTTCAAGGATTTAGAGTTTGGGGTCTAGGCTGGATACTCCCGCTTGACCCTAAGCCTAAACTTTGAAACCAAAACGGATACTCACCCAGGAGATCGGAGACGATCGACCCTTTTGCTGCGGAGTGCCAAAGAAAGCTGGCCAGCCTAGGCCGCTTAGCAGTCTACAGAGTTTAGGGTTTAGGGTGGGGATAAGGGTAAGGATTCGGGTTTGCGAATTTAAGCTTAGGGGCTGTGGTTGAAGGATTTGGGCTTCAAATCTGCAGTCAGGGTGAAGGCTTTAGAATCTTACCTTAACCCCTAAATCCTAAACCCTAAACCCATGGGTTTAGGGTTTAGGGGATTGGGCTCAGGTATCTGGGTTCAGGAATTGGAGTTTAAAGTCTAGGGCTGGAGCTTCTCAGGGCTTAGGTCACGGTTTAGGGTTTAGGGTTCAGGTTTTAGGGTTTAGGGTTCAGGGTTTAGGGTTTAGGGTGCCCTGGGACTCTTGTGGTAGAGGGGAGATTGTCCTAAGCATTGCTCGGGAGTGATTTGGGTTTCCCCAAATTTGGGCAACCTTCTCTGTAGTCCTATGCTAAGGATTTTCTTATTTTGTGGTCTATATCAGGGCCCACCCGTTTTCGCAAAACTCGCAACGGGTTGGGGATAACAAAGGATAACCAAGGAAGAGAGCAAGGGAAAGAGGGACATGCATGATATACATATACATATACATATACATATGCATATACATATATGTATATCTATCTATATATATATATTCATACAGGCCCAGACATAGGGAGACATTAGTAACGATTCCAATATATTATGGTAGTTATTATGAGGACCCCAAAATGGCACCTCAAATTTTTGGAAAGCCGCATCTAGACAGCCGTAGATGTGCAGACGTTTGTACAGAGATTTCGCAGTTGGTTCAGGGCTTGAGGCCTGGCAGTGGTGTCTCTTTTTTAAGGCTCCCCGCTCTCATGGGGTTTGTGTGCTGTGCCAAATTATCTTAACCCCAAACCAGAGAGTATTGGATACTTGGATGATCAAGAGGATTTAGTAAGTACCCTTGTAATCAGCCCTTAGGAGCCACATAGATAACCCCGGCTATCGCCAGTATGACAGCACAACCCTACTTGCTGAGTCCCTCGCATCCCCAAGTGAGTAGCATCTTATTTGGGGATATTATAGTACCCAATATAGAGTAAGATTATATCCTCCTTTTGGGGTATAGTATTTTATATACGGAATATTATCTTACTAGGTTAAACCAACATAAAAACACTACTCAAGTAGGTTTCTGCGTTACGGTTTTGGGCCGAGGCTGGGGTTTGCTTCCAGAGCTTCGAGGCAGCGTAATGCATAGGGACGTCCCAAGCAAGCTATTATAGTCCCCCTTTAGTAGATGGAACATGGGGTATATGGGCATCCTATTATAATATACCCAACGCCTTATTCTATCTACTTAAGGGGGACTATAGGGTTAATGAGAGAAGACCTCTGAGCCCTAATTGGCCACTACCCAGAGCATGCGCATGATAGTAAATCACCCCCCCCCCCGATACAGTGCCATGCTATAAGCGGTGGAATATTTGGGTAGGGAGGTTTCTTATTCGTAGAGGGGATTCTTTGTCAGGCTCCTGTACCGTGGGGATTTCCTCCACCCTTTTGGCTCAGTCCTCTGCCGCAGAGCATGGTCCCACCCTTATTCTTGTTTTGTACTATCTAATTGGAGGGTCATGGGGACTTAGTAAGTAGGTGAATAATTAGGATATGTAGGGTTATTACATGGGTTACAGCCGTTATGAACCTACTTACGAAGTTCTCCTGACCCTCCAAGTAGACCCGGGCCGTGTAGGGGGTCTCGGAAGGAGGGCAATCCTGGGATCCAAAACCCTAACGCCTCTCAACCCTCAAGCTAACCCCCAACCCTGAACTCAACAGTCTGAAGGCTCGAATCTAACTTCTGCGCCCTGAATCCCAAAGCCATAAGTCCTGAACGCTCCGTCCAATGCCCCATCAGCCACAAACCCAATACATCTTCATACCCTCATGATAGCACCCTTTCAGTTGAGAAACTCCTTGGACTACAAAGAATATCGAGGGCAACAACAGTAAGGAGAATACCAGGAGCAATCGGAACACTAGCAACTAGTACCTGCAGTTTTTGTTCATCTATCAACTTGACATACTGGGTTGCTGTTAAGGATGTGAAAGTATGATGGTGGGCTTATGGTGAAGCCACGTTATTTACTGCATATTCTTATTATGGCAGCTTAATCTAAAGTTCCTGAAAGCAAACCAACCTAAACCCTCAACCTCAAACCTTAAACCATAAACTTCGAAGCCTAAACCCAATAAGCCTGAACCCCAAAGATTCAAGCCTAAATCCTGAGCCTTAAACTTTGAAGCCTAAACCCTGACCAAGGTTCCTAAACCTTTAAACCCCCAAACTGAATCTCATGGTTTCCTCGGCAAATTCAGGGGGCTGGGCAGCTAGCGGTATCTGCTTGAAGCCCGGGCAGCCCTCTGACGCGGTGACTGCACGGTTTTTCATGGGTTAACCCTAACGCTACCTGAGGGTTTAGGGTTTGGGGGTTTGTGGCTAAGGGCTTAGGGTTTGGGATTTAGGGCTTCGGTTTTAAGGCTTGAGAATCAGGGTTTACTGTGTAGGTTTTAGCGTATACCACCCATTCTCATTCATTAGCCCTGGTTATCTCATCCCGAGTACAGTAAGGTTCAACCTTGGCGAGTAGTTTACGGGGGAGTAGCGGGAGAACTCATCAGTTTAAGGCTGAGGATTCAAGGTTGTTCGGGCTTCAGGTTTACTACTAAGAGGGTTATGTGAGCCCAACCCCTCAAAGTTAAGAACCCATTGTGAGAGTTGTAGGGTTGCATTTGTTGGCCAAAGCCCGCGTCATTTCTAAGGTTTCCGGGTTAAGTCTTTAAGGAAATAGTTCTCAGGATTCCGAGCATTGCTGGACAGTACTTTCTGGAGGTGGCGTCTCTTGTTCTTAGCATTGCTCAAAGCTTGGAACCGTGAAGCCTAAACCCTGAATCGTAAACCCTGTACCAAGAATCTTAAATCCTAAATCTCAAGCCCTAAACCCTAAATCCCAAGGCTTCGCCTTTCTCCCCACACCTTCCAGCTGATTTGTGCACCCGTATCTGTCGCAATGGAGCTTACCTAAATCTCCAAGCCTTAATCTTGCAATCCAAGCCTAAGGGTTTAGGGTTTAGAGTTTAGGGTTTAGGGTTTATGGACTATAAGAGTAAGATTGTATCCTCCTTTTGGGTATAGAAGGATATAATCTTACTTAGTCCAGCCACCAAAAGGAACTTCTTCCTTAAACCCTAAATGCTAAACCCTGAACCCAGAGCTTCTTCATTTCCCATAAAGCCCCAAGATGCAACTACTTTCCATGTCTTTTTCCATCTTTTCCGTTGGATTCTCCATGATCCCTAACCGTGCAACCTCTATTTAAACCCTACTATACTCATATGTAGCCCGTAAAGGTCCCTTAAATGTTCTTATATACGTAGCCCGTATAGCCCCTTCAAAACCCTAAACCCTGGGCCCCTAGACCCTAAACCCTAAACTCACAAAACAATGCGGCTCAGGTGAGGGTCACTCAGAGCTTCGTCTTGCCAAATAGCAGCAGCCGGTTTCTTGATGAGAAGCTTTGCGCACTAAGCCTTAAACCTCAACGCAGAGTCCGTACTACTCCATGGAAAGCTTTGAGGGTGTAGGGATTTCGAGAGAAATGACAGTCTGGGGTTTGCGGTCTAGCACGAAGAAATGTTCAATTGTTCTTTCAGCACATGCTTTGTTAGTGGCCGAGCTCCATTAATAGTGAACCCGGTTGTTTTGAAAAAGGACCATATGGATCCTGTTCTTGGGCTCTGCATAGACGGGGTTCCGAATACTACGGAGCGAATGTGAAGGCTTCATGAAGGAAAGACCTCAGATCATTCTTACTTAGCTTATGCAGGCATTGGCAAGGGCAATTTCTGGCCATCAACAGAACCTAGTTGGCATAACTGACCCGTCTTTGCCTTACTGGGTTGCAAGGAGGTTAAAGTAATTTGCTAGAATAAGGAAACCCTACTATCTACCACATACCCAGTTTATGGAAACTTAGATTCCTAAACCTCGAACCCTACATACCCTATGAACCCGTATTATGGTAACTTAGTTTAAGTTCCCTAACAGCAGCCCAGCCTATGGTATAACAATCGACCCGTAGCCTTTGTATCCTAAGCTCGAAGCCTCTAATCCAGAAACTTCAAAGCATTAACTCAGGTTTAGGATCTAGGGTTTAGGGTTTAGAATTTAGGGTTTGGGGTTTAGGATCTAGGGTTTAGGGTTTGGGATTTAGGGTTTGGGGTTGACGGTCTAGGGGTTAGGCCTTAGGATTTAGGGCTTAGGTCCCGAACTTGCCGGCGGGTAGTAGGGAGTAAATCCCTATAAGATCCCAATAGAATCCCTATATAATTCTTATAATGTATTCCCGTATGCCCTACTAATCCCTTGCAACCTTATAACGTATTCCCTTATGCCCTACTAATCCCCAGCAAGGTTTCCGGTCGCCGTCCTGGATGGCGTGCTTCCTGGGGACATGTGCCAGGCTTTGATTGACGTCCACGAGAAGGTGGAGCTTTTTGAAAGCGAGCCGTTTTTGGGATGTAGGGTTTAGGCTTTTGGATTTAGGGTTTAGGGTTTAGGATTTAGGGTATGAGGGTTCTTGCGGCTTAGCCTTCAAAATTCAGGAAAGTATAGTATACCACAAAACTCTTTTATGAAGGCAAAATTTCCATTTCCTCAAAGCTGATTATTTCAGCACAGTACTGCATGACCCTCGGGTAGTCGTATGGCTCAAAAATACTAGTTATGTAGCCTCTCCAACAAGAGTGCTTACAAACCCCCAACCCTAAAACCTAAACGCCAAACCTCCCAATGCTCAGCCCTAAACCTTAAGGCAAGCCTGAGGCCCTAAACAAACCCTCCACGTAGGAAGCCCAATGCCCTTCAATTACCGAACGCGCTTAGATTCTAGGGTTAGGGGTTTAGGGTCTAGGGGTAGGGGTTTAGGGTCTAGGGCTTAGGGATTTAGGCCTTATGGTTTAGGGTTTATAGGGTTTAGGGTTGAGGGCTTGCCTTAGCTAAAGGGCTGAGGGCCTCCTGGGCAAAGCTTTCTAGGTGGGTTTTGAGACGCCGCCCTCGCTCCTTATGAAAGTAGCCAAGCAGACGATGATCGAGGGGGAAGATGACTCCTGTGCTTATTCTGTTTCAGGGCTCTGTGCTAATTCTGGTTCAGGGCCCTAAGCCCTAAACCCTGGGCTTTTACATACCCCCCCAACTCGAAGAGAGGTTTGGTTGCGCAATCCCATAATCCCTCAGGCAGTCGTCACGCAGTAGTTGTTGTATTTTGTGGTGGTTCCATGGAAGTTTGGGGGAGGGCAAGGGGTTCGGATTGAGGCTAGTTTGGCGCATCCACCCCAGAAGGTGCTTGCGGACATGTTAAGGTTTGATTCAGATCGGACTGGGGCTATGGGAGGAAGATGTTACTTGATTCATCTTGACTGAACGCAGCCACTAAAGCCTAAACCCATAAGCCAAAAGACCCAAGCCAAAAGGCCAGTCAATGCCCCTGCCTCTCTCTTTGGTTCAAGGTGTCTTCTGAACACTTGCTCTGCGTCGGCAGGTTTAAGGCACTACCTGGTCTGCATAGTGATGTCCTCTTCGAAGTCCTTATCCTTGAAAAGCTGGGTTGCTGTTAAGGGATTCAAGCGAAGTTGCTATAAGAAGGAGACTGAAACGGATTCCCAATTGGGATCCTGGCTTTCAGATGCCTCTGCTTATCCACGACTTACTGGTGGTTCGTAGGGAACGAGTAGGGTTTAGGGTTTAGGGGTTAGTTGGGTAAAAGGGATTGTTTTATAGGCATTGAAAAGGGAGTCTATTCACTTAAGCAGTGCCTAAGTACAACATCTCTTTACAATGTCTTTTTAGCTCTTGTACGGAACCGTTCTACAATCATTGCAAAACTGAACAACATTTTTGTAGGTGTTGTCTTCCTCGTTGTAGATAGTTGACTCCCGAAGGACCTGGGAGAAGAGAATATTTCCTGAACAACTCAGGAGGATGCCGATCAACTGATGCAGCTGGCTTACGAACAAGACACTTGGGATTTGGCAGAGATTTTTATGGAAAGAATCTGAACAATTATTCGGGGGGCGCAACAAATCCCGCCTTTTTACACCACGGCTTATGCGGGCCCTGCTTAGCCATCCTTGCCCGGTCTCCGAGTGAATGCTCATCAATCAGAATGTTGGGATGAGGGTTTCAGGGTGCTGGGGTAAAGCGTTTGGAGCTAGATTGGAAACCTTGACGTCAAGTCAAGGCTGTCTTCGAATTGAGCTCTCAGTCTGGTTCGGATTAGGGTCTAGGGCTGAGGGTTTAGGGTTGGGGGAGCAACAGGGCCGATGCTTCTTCTATGGCTTCTTCTCATCACTGACAACTTGACACAAGACTGTTGCGCTACGAACCTTCAAAGGAAGGTTCTGAAGGGGCCATGATAACTCAGAATACAGATAGCGGCAACTGTGCCGAACCGAGATTTCCGAACAGCGAAAGCAAATATTGATAGCTCCGTATCCCCTAACCCGCATGTCCCTAAACCCTAAACCCTGAACCTTAAACCCCAAACCCTAAGCCCTACACCCTAAACCCTATGAGCCCTAAACCCTAAGCCTTCAGTCCAGGAGAAGAACACCTCACAGCTCGTACAGATCAAGTCGTCTGACTTTGCAGATTATCTTTGGGAGAGGCTACGGCAATACTTCCCGCCTGAGCTTCCTTACGCTGGAGCCTTAACCAGTGGCATCTATGAGGTGTGTGGGATCATTCCCGTGTTTCGCTTCATGAGGTACAAAAAGGACCAGGGTTTCAAGCCCCACAAGGACCCGTCGCGTCAATTCTCAGAAAGCCCTGTCGGCAATTCATAATGTGGGATCTTCTCAAATGGGGGTCTCCCAAAATTAGGGGTCCTTTTTGTGGGTGCCCATAATAAGGAATATAGCATTTTGGAGATTATTTTGGGTCCCGACACATGCCCAAGCTCCAGTTCGACGTCGGTTGGCGCAAAGCCGCACATCCCGCAAACAAAATGTTCATTATGTCACTTGTAGAGCAAAAATCTTTCTGGCAACAATGAAACGGGTCAATATGAGCTATAGTTTACACTCCTAGCTATAATGCTCCCTATATCATCCCTTCTATATCCCCCTAACAAGTTTCGACTACAGCTATGTAGGCAAGGTGTTCAGATTGGCTCTCTGCTAGCATCCTACAACTCTGGGTTTTGAGTTATTTGGGCAGTGCCTTGTAGCCCTAAAACCACAACCCCAAACCTCAATCCCCAAACCCTAAACCCCCGAGCCTTAAATCCTAAGCCCTAAACCCCCAACCTTAAATCCTAAACCCTAAATCCCCAAACCCTAAATCTCCAAACCTCAAATCCTAAAGCCTAAGCCCAAGGATCCGGCTGAATTCGAAGGCGGCAAGTTGAACTTCGTCAAGCTCCGGGTCGATGAAGCAAACTCGAAGATTCTGGGTTGCTGTTAAGGAACTTAGATTAAGTTACCATAATGGGTTTAGGGTTTAGGGTTTAGGGTTACCATAATGGGTATATATATATATTGTAAATAATACGGTTTCCCCAATATAGTAACTTAATTTAAGTTCCTTAACAGCAACCCAGGATTTACGAGTCTCAAGCTACAGTTGCTCCTGCGGCTTGCTGGTGTTTACTGGTGTTTAGGGTTTAGGGGTTTAGGGTTTAGGGTTTAGGGTTTAGGGGTTTAGGGTTTTAGGGGTTTAGGGGTTAGACCCTAGGCTTAGGGTTTAGGACTTAGTAGGGTTTGGGGCTGTGATCATGCCACCATGACCCCATGAGGATTGTTGTGAGTGCAAGGTAGGGTTTCAGATCGTTTAGGGGATGGAGAGAACGGAGCTACCACAGTCTTTTGTTGTGTTTCGGGCGCTGCTACTGGGCATCCGTTCCTCCGTTCCCAACCCTCGGCCCTCGGCCTTAGACCCCTAAACCCCTAAATTGCAGTTTCTTTTCCTTTCCCTACGGTTCAACAGTCAGGCAGTGGGCCGTTGCGTTCTGTTTCGCCACGACGAGCTGCACGAAGGCGAGTTTAGCGTTTAGGATTTGAAGCTTGCAGTTCTGTTTTTGGGCGTGCTTTTGTTTCTTTTTACAAGGATTCTCCTATTCTGGGTGTTGCTTGAAACATCCAAAACCTCTCAAAAGATTCCCAACATTATGTAAGGCATTCTTTGATTAGGGTGTATTGGAAGCCCTAAGCCCTAAACCCTAAACCGCAAAGCCTTAAAGCTAAACGTACAACCCTTAACCCCAAAACCTGCACCATAATCCCTAAGCCCTGAACCCTACACTCTAAACCCTGGTTGAGCCTGAACAACAGCCAGGCGGCGGTGTGCAGTCTGGAACCAAGTACATGTGCCAGTGCGACGTCCTCTACAAGCGCGTGAGATCGCTCCCCTAAAGTTCACGGGATTACAAGAGAAGCTTTCTGCAGAAACGAACCTCCCAGAGTTCCAGAATTCTTCGGCCTTGAGCCCTACACCCTGATAGCGTAAACCCTGAATCTTGAAGCCTGAGCAGTCTTTGCAGACCGCATTTCGACCTCGAAGCTTATTGATCTTATGGTTTAGTTGTAGAACCTTGAAGCCACAAGACCTAAATCCGAGATCCTAAACTTGAAGGATGTTTCGAACAACCTCCGGCCTGGCACCCATGTTAAAGGTTTTTGGATTGCAGATGGTTTGGCATGAGATTGTCTCAAGCCAAGAATTCTAAACCGCTTACAGTCCTCCAGAGAAACCCAGACCTGAGCCCTGAACTCTAAGCCCGGAAGCCTTAATCGCCAAATCCTAATCTTGCATTCGAAGCCTCTAGACCTAAAACCTTAAACCCTAAAGACATCCCTGCAGCCCCTCTAACGAGACCTAGGTGTAACCCTTTACAACCTCGAAGAGGGCCTGCGCCCTGAAAGCCGACATTTCTGAGCCGTGTGACATTGGGCAGATCCCCCCTTGTGCAGATGGGATCCTTGCCTTCGCAGGTTGACGCATTACCTAGTTCTTATCAAACAAGATTCTCCATTGTTGAGATAATATCCCTGAGTCCTACACCCTATATACCGCCTTACAGGGACCTAGGGTTTTCATTTCATTTACCACGGTCTTTCCCATGTGGTTCTAATTATTGTGGTCGAGAGTGGCCGGCTTTGGTGTTAAGGTTGGGTGATTTTTGGGAAGCAAGTTTAGGGTCTAGGGTTGAGGGTGTAGGGTTTAGGGTTGAGGGTTTAGGGTTTAGGGGGTGTGTTGTAGATGGTAGAAGTTAGGTGGAACCCCCACCCAGTAACAGTGACTATAAAGGATAATGGTGACTTCATGAGGGTCCTCAGGTCCTCATACCACTATTACAGGGTGGGGGTCCACCTGGGCCATAATCTAAAGTCCTTAAAAGGGGTTATATATGGGATCAAATAGGGGAGTACCGTAGGGGTTATGAAGGGGGATACTAGGAGTTTAGAGTATAACCCCTATAGCCCCCTATATAATCACAGTTTCCATTTCATTTTCCGTTTTCTTTTCCATTTGTGCCATTTGACTCTCCATTAAAGGGGTCACAAAGGGGGATACTGGGAGTTTAGATTATAATTCATATGCCCTAAACCCTGAACCCTAAATGAAGGGGGATACTAGGAGTTTAGACTATAATTCATATATC